AGATCCTCTTTTTACTTGAAGTTCATTTATGTGGTGTCCTCACATAATAGAACAACTTGGTCTGCTCTTGACTACAGGAGTATGGTACAATTAACCTCTTTGTACTGTTCAAGGGTCAGCAGACAAGGTGAAAGTGATACATGCTAGTTGCTGCATGGTTATGTGGTTGTTGTGGGTCTGATCATAAAGGATGTAAGAAAGTGTGCTTTGATAAGCCAGGCTCATATGGTTGAGATCAATGTCAGATCTGATGTTGCAACATCATCTCAAACGAAGGGCCTCTTCAGCAAAGGAAGCTTGTAAGGACCAGTTGGTTCTTCATGCATAGAGCAGAAGATTGTTAGAATAATTATCCTACCTTGAGAAGATGGCATAATCTAACTAATAATGAATACTTTGACGGGAGACTAAGTATTCATTAGGATCTTGCATAAAGATATATATAAGCACTTTGATGGGAGACTAAGTGTTTGTATAATATGCATGCAAGACTGTATTCTGAACCTATTTCTCAGAACTTGATAGAGAGTTTATTTCTCTCTAAGAGTATTCTGGTGAGTAATTATTGCTGAAGATGAAAATCATAACTTTTCTATGGGGAATATAAGAGGGCGTCAATCCCCCGAATGTTAACTTCAGAACCCAAGCAGATAGGTTCTGATGTCCCAGATGATGCTGTAACATTATTATTGTTAGAAGTCTGTGGCAGAGACTTGAGACTGTGAATCCTCATTCAGAAATGGCAATTCTATTGTTGGAATAAGTAGATTCTACTTGTGTTTAAGAGTAGTATGCCTAACAATGCATAACTACCACTGTGGTCTGAAGAATTTGCTAGTATCAACAACTACTAGTAAATATATTTTTGATTAAAGGTTAATTCTTCTAGAAAATCTGAATCTTAGTAAAGCTTGTAAGCACACTAAGAAGGTTGGAGTTTGGTTTCAGACTATGACTACATGATTTCTCAGCCATCCAGAGAGTCATGATAAGTGTGGAAGTGCAAGGGGCATGAATCAGAGATGTCCTTACTATTCTAAGACTAGTTCAGGGTGCTTGAAGTTACCACCTCAGAGCTAGTGCTACTGGTTTCCACGCTACTGTTTTGATTGGTGTTAACAAGGGGAGTCACTGAGTGTTGCACTTTTCCAAATTACAATATACATTGAAGGGAGACTTTGTATATGTATTGTTGGACATTGTGAACTTCTAAGTGAAGTCATGGATAATGTCTCAACATCAGGAGATTGAGGAATTGCTCTTGTTATTGGTCTGGGTTTAGGAAGAAAATCTCAGAGATTCTTAAAAGTATCATAAGTGGCAGTTTTGATACTTTTGGAGCAATTTGGAAGATTCAGATCTTATCAATAGCAACTTGGTCTGGCAAATCAGAAATGGTATTGTGGTAAAGACTTCACTAGCTCTAGCAACTACTAGTAAATGGAAGATCAGAAGAAGTAAATCAGATTAAGAAATCGGATATATTCAGCACATGTTCAAGGGGTTCTTTTACTAAAAGTTGAAGTGGCATCTAAATTTGGTGTATTAGAACTAATCTGTGATGTATTGTGAAGCATTTTGGAGTCTTCTGGTTTATTCCCTCCTTCCTTATTTTGCTGTCTGGAAGAAGGTAGAAAGTAATTGTGTTGGATCTCAGCAACACTTAAGAAAGCATGATTGATGGCCATGCTTAATGCTACTAGTCTCTTGCTACTAGCTGGTTAAAGTGTCCTTCTCTGTGCTTAACTGAGAGAAGTAAAAAGAAGGCTGCTGTTGTTGAAGAATGTAAGGTAATGTCTAAGTAAGTGTCATGACATTACCAACGACATTGCAACCTTGGGGAAGTCAAGAAGAATACGTGGAAAATAACAAATGCACCACGTAATTGTAGCTATTCAGGAGCTATATTTGGTATGCTGTTTCCTAAAAAGTCGGTCAAAGGCTGATTTTAGTCAGGAATTGCTTTGACCCAAACTTATGCATGTATTAGGACTGGTTCTTTTGGCAGAAACAAACAAATCCATGCACAGTCAGTCTGAAATATGCAACAACTTTAACAGGTATCCTTGACCAAGATTTTATATTACCATCTTCGTGAACCTGTTATCTCCTTATATAACCTCCTGTCACACATTCTCTTCTCTCACAACCATCATGGGGTTTGTACGAATCTGGGAAAACTGTTCTTGGATCTGGTTTTGTGAGGGCTTTCTTTGTCAATTTTTGGCCAAAAAGGGGGAGAAAGGAGTACTGTTACTGTTTGACATTGTCACAAATTTTGATCACAAAGACTTGTCACAAATTCAGAAGAAATTCAAATGGCGTGAATTTCTTTGTGACTTGTGATCTGAGTTATGAACACAGTTGTGACCTGTGTTCTGAGTTACAAGGGAGATATTCTGGTCACTCCTTAAAGGTTCTCTGATGCCTCTGAAAGGATAGTTTATCTCCCACGGTCCTCTTTTTCCACCACCAGTGACAGGAAATGGTTCGTGGTCTAAAAGGGAATGAGGTGCATCCTCTTCCTCCTGTGCTTCAAGAGGTCCTGGATGGTTAGTGTGGTTACAACCAAGATGTCAAGATCAATGTCAAGACATCCTTCTGGGTGTATCCTGAACACTTTTATTGTTGTATTTGTTTTAGCCAAAATTTGCCAAAGGGGGAGATTGTAAGTGCCTTCGTTTAGGATTGGCTCATTACTTGTAAAACAAATAGTAACAACAATAATGTAATGTAATTGTAAATGCCTAAACATGTTGTGTTGAATCAACATCTGGAACAACATGTCTCAAGAGATGTCATAACATCATACCAGACATCAAGCTACTGAACTGTCAAGTCTGATGCAGTTCTGTTCCTGAAGTTATGCAGAATATTCTGCCAAATAGAATGCATAACAAGAAGCGAAAATTGAAGGCATATGTGGAGCCCTAGAAGATTCAATCAGAAGCTAAAGATAAGGAGAAAAGCTCGATTGAAGACCTAACTTACAGCAGAAGTTTTCTGCTTTCTTTATGCAGGTCGTTAAAGCTGCATTGCTGTCATATGAAGGCCCAAATCCAGTTGGGTAAAAAGGGTTATAAATAGAAGTATTGTAACCTAATTTAAGTGTGAGGTCGTGGATTGACAAGATGTAATTATTTAGGGCTAGTTTTGTTGTGAACCACCCGGGCTGTGGGATGGTCACCATACTCCTTGAAACCTGTAGGTAAGAGGATGTATGCATTGTGTTACTTGATTGAAGCTTTTAAGCATGATCAAGATGTGTAATGGAAGTGTATCTTCTGAACAGTTTATGTACTGTAGAAAGTTATCACTGCGGTGATTGAGGGGGAGTGAGAGGGGTCTCATATCTAGGATTGGATCTTAGGTAAAAGTGTCATTGGGTAGTAATTAAGTGAGAAGGCTGTCAACGGGTGTGTTGGCTGTAGGGTCTTTGAATTGATACTACTAATAGTGAACTTTATCCCTGGCTTGGAAGCCTCCAGATGTAGGTTGGTTGAACCGAACTGGGTGAACAATTCTGTGTGTTATTTACTTTCCGCATTGGTTATTTGTTTGATGTCACAGCATTCCTCATGACATCAATGTATATGGTTAACCTTAACTGCTCTGAACTTCAGTTGATCAGAACCTGAGTTTGTCAAAAGGTGTTGCAGGTGCTGGTATGATAGTTCAGTGACTGTTGTAGAACAGATATCAAAAGTACAGCCTATTCTACCTGTACAGCGCTTAATGTCAGATCAGATGTCTTAACGTTTCATTAGACATCCTGAGTCTGTGACGTACCAGGAATTTCAAACTCATTCCCACAAACACCAGAATTTTCATGTCTCAACATCATTATATTTGAGACATACTGCACAAAGGAAATATGATTGATGCTAAGCCAGTAGGAACTCCAATGTCTACTACTTGCTCCCTTGGCATCCAGGATGATACACCTCCATGTGACGCTACTTCTTTTCGCAGCATTATTGGGTCTTTGCATTATTCATCTATCACTAGACCAGATGTGGCATTTGCTGTCAATAAGCTGTCAGAGTTCATTCAAGGACCCTCGGAAACTCACATGCAAGCTCTCAAACGCATTCTCCGATATCTCAAGCACACTATCTCACATGGTCTCCATCTAATAGCAACAAAGAATCTTGAACTCACTGCCTTTTGTGATGCAGATTGGGGCGGTGACACAATTGATCAAAAGTCCACAGGTGCCTACATAGTTTATCTCAGACCCAATGTCATTTCTTGGTCCTGCAAGAAACAACCTACAATTGCGAGATCCTCCACAGAGGCTGAATATCGCACAATCGAAATTACTACATCTTAACTCTTATGGTTAGAACAACTTCTATTGGAACTTGGGATCAAAATCACCCATCCGCTGAACATATTTTCCGATAATATTGGTGCAACATATCTTTGTGCAAATCCAGTGTTTCATTCACGAATGAAGCACTTAGCTATCGACTATCACTCCGTTCATGACATCATTGCAAAAGGTGAACTCAAAGTGTCTCATGTACCTTGTAGTCACCAACTAGCAGATTTACTAACGAAACCACTCTCTCGACCTCGTCATGAGTTTCTTCTCTCCAAGATTGACATCATTGACCACTCCTCCATCTTGCAGGGGCGTATTAGCACAGCCACGTAACTGCAATAGCAATTACTTGATCCTTTCCTCTAGCAGCTCCTTAATTATAACAGTAGTTGTTACAATTTAAAAATATTGTATAGTTATTATATATTTAAATTAGCCATTATGTGTATTGATTTGTTGCCTTAGATTTAGTTGATCTGATATACTATTGTTGGCAACAAATTAATCTCAATTATCATGTATCTCTTATTTATTCCAATCATCATTCATGTGAATAATACAACTAAAATATATCTACAATCACTGGCGGAGCCAGCGTCCGGCCAGCTAGGGCAGCTGCCCAGGCTCGGCCGTCTCGAATCACTTTCATGGAACTCTTCTCTCCCTCAATACGATGAACAAGACGACAACTCTTTCACTTTTCACTGCCTCCAATGAACTTGAAGGAGGTTTGTTTCATTCTTATCCGATAGATTTAATTTTATCGTAGACATTGTTTCTCTATAATTAGCCTCATATCTTCTTCTTCAAAAGTTATACCCATAGTAAGCATTACATATAGCTTAGTTTTGTTGATTGTATTCTGCCCGCCAAGTGTTTGATGAATTGCTTGATTATACTATGTTTGTAAATGGATATTTTTGTCCATAGATTGGCCATGGCATCGGTATCAAATTGTTGTTGTTACAGCGTGTCTTGCTTCTAGTAACTTGGGGATTCTTTCCGTTGATGCTCCTGCTTATGATTTGGTTTTGAAGTTTCTTCTTCCTCTCGCCATTCCTTTGCTTCTCTTTAGGGCGGATCTCCGCCGTGTAGTCAGCTCCACCGGCGTACTTCTCTTGCCTTTCTTGCTTGGTTCAGGTAACTAACTTACTTCTCTAGTTTACAAATGCTATTTTGAAAAGCAATATATCTGAATGTTAATGTTCATTGTTAATGTTCATTATTATCATAACAGTTGCAACTACAATTGGGACAGTAGTAGCATATCTACTTGTTCCAATGCGATCACTTGGTCCGGATAGTTGGAAGATAGCAGCTGCTCTCATGGGTAGACATATTGGTGGGGGTAACTCTTATTTTATTGCCTCGAGTTCATTGATAAATATTGCTCTGGAAGGAAACATTTGTATCTTTAAAATTCAACTTAGACATGGCTTAACTTAGATATTATTGTTTTCCATATTCTACAGCTGTCAATTATGTTGCCATATTTGATGCTCTTGGTGTTCAACCCTCAGTTTTAGCTGCCGGCTTAGCTGTAGATAATGTTATTTGTGCACTGTATTTTTCAGCATTGTTTGCATTGGCCTCTAAAGTGCCTCCAGAGCCCTCAGCGTCAGTAGATGGTATAGTTAATTTACATCTTCATTTTAATGGTTTCTGTATAATATTTCTATGTGCTTCTGTGCATTAGAGGGTTCACCTAACTGATTATTTTTTCTTGTCAGATGATGCTATGAATTTATCTGGGTCTGGTGACAAACTTCCAGTGTTACAAATGGCTACTTCTCTTACGGTGTCTTTTGCCATCTGCAAGGCTGCCACTATTCTTACAGGGTATTTTGGAATCCAAAGGGGTACTCTGCCATTAGTAACAACAATTGTTGTGATATCTGCGACTGTATTTCCCAAACCATTTGCTTCTCTTGCATCCTCTGGTGAACCTATGGCTGTGATTCTCATACAGGTTGGTTGTTATTTATTATATGGCTTTTTCACTTACTAAGTGCATGTTTGGTGACACCACATTGACCGTGATTTTGTCAAAGCTCTAATGTGTAGCTTTTGTGAAAATTATGACAGTTTACCAAGATTTTGCCTAATTCAGTGTCAATCCGTACATGTATTAAAATCGTAATAGAAAGTTATTGGTAATCCCAACATTAAAAAAAGACTAATAACGTATTTGTTGTCAATATCACCCCAAACTGACTGGTTAATGATTTGTTATATGTGAGGAATAGGTATTCTTTGGGGTGATAGGTGCGAGTGGGAGCATAAGGAGTGTGATGAACACAGCACCAAGTATTTTTCTATTTTCTTTTGTTCATATAACAGTCCATCTTGCTTTGATACTTGGACTGGGAAGACTTTTTCGCTTTGACCTGAAAAGTTACCCAGACTTCATAATTTTTCTGGCTCCGCCACTGTCTACAATCACAATTTAAAATCATAGAATGGATATCACCATCCTTAAAAATTATTTAAAGTTACACTGAAATATAATATGTTGTAAAATAATGGATTTAAATACATAAAAAAATATTATATAAGATACACTACTAAAAAATTTAAATTTAAAGGGGGTAGCTTTTCATCACTAATACAATAAAATTCCGTCAAAAATCAAATTAATTAACAGATTTAGTGACATATCAATATCGGTAGCTAATTTTATTATTGCAATATATTAGTGAAAGATGTATAATTCTGTCATAAATGGGCATGGAATAAATGATATCATTCCGTCAATAAATAGTATTGAGAAAAAAATCCCATCAACACATATTTCAGTCAACAATGAGTGAGAGAATAATAAATATCTCCTTAATTACAAGAGATTTATTGTGTCTCAAATATATGACAATCTACTTTTGTTACTAAATTACAAGACAATAATCTAGTGCCGCTTATTTTCTGTCACTAATTAATGAAAATATGCATATGGTAAATTTTCATCTTTATGTAAATTCAAAACATGCCACAAGCGATGTTGATTATGATGCTTCCATCATTAGCAGTTTTCGTGATGAAGACAGTGTTCGATTCTCGGGTTGTGAGGTTCTATGCTATGAATCTTTTACATGCAACAATCGTTATGGAATCTGATGTTGGAAGGATGGTATAGGAGATTATCAATAAGTTGGGTTTAGTGAGTAAGGAGCAACACGAGCAATCTGTGATGATTATTGAGGCTATGGAGATGAGAGATAAATAGGACAAGACTTAGAGGGAGAGGTTAAAATCTTTGGTATTATGAAGTTGTTAGCTCTTAACATAAGAGAAGGAGGAAGTGTAATCAAAAGGAAGAGGATCAGTTTTATCATCCAATCTGGTAAAGTAGATTTATGTTTTTTTACAAGAAGTTAAATTAAGTTCCTTTGACTGTAGATTAGCGGTAGAGTTTTAGGGTAATATTTCTGCTGAATGGACTTTATGTGGGGCGGTTGGCGCTTCAGGTGGTATGGTGATTGTGTAGAAAAAAGGTCTCTTTGATTTGAATTTTAGTTTTAAATGGTTATGTAAGTATAAATGTAGGTTGGAAGGGTGTTATCTATAACCTCGTTAATATTTAGGCATCGTGTAATTTTGCGTGAAGGCAATCTTTATGGAGGCATTTGGTTAGAAGAAGGAATTAGGGGTTGGATGAGGAATGGTGTTTAGGTGGAGATTTTAACTCAGTTATTCAGCGAGAAAACATAGTTGGTGTGGACCAGAACAATAGACATAATGAAATGGAGGAATTCATTCATTTCATCAAAGATATGGAGTTAATCGAAGTGTCTTCAGTCGGTTCGAAATTTACATGGTTTAGTGGTAACTGTTTCGTTATTAGCAAGATTGATAGGTTTCTGCTGTCTGAAAAGATAGTGAATGTCTGGAAGATAATTGGGCAATGGTTCGGGAAAAGAGATATATCAGATCATTGCCTTATATGGCTGAAGTGTTGTGGCTTTGATTGGGGTCCAAAACCCTTCAGATTTAATAATTGTTGGTTGAATCATAGAGTTTTTTGTGTTTGCTGAAGAGAAATGAAAGATTTTTTCTTTTGTTGGTTGAGGAGATTTTAGACTTACAGAGAAGCTTAAGAACTTGAAGAATAGGTTTAGATGGTGGAACAAATTTGTTTTTGGTTGGATTGATTTAAAAATCGAGGAGTTTGTCTCTATGGTAAATATGTTGGACAATCTGTTAGTTGATAATGTTGGTGGAACAGTCTCAGCTTTGGTAGATAGTAGAGCTAAGGTTGTGGAAGAATATGGATCTGAAGGAAAGTATGCTTAGACATAAATCTCGGCAGGTTTGGCTTTTGGAGGGGGATCTTAATACTATATTCTTTCATTGTGCGATAAAGGATAGATATAGGCGAAACTTTATCAACACTCTGGATTCTTCTAATGGTAGAATGAAGGGAGTGGGGGAAGTCAAAGAGGCGGTGAATCGTCATTTTGAAGTTTTCTTCAAAGAATCCAATTTTCATAGACCAGTGCCAAAAGATTTGGTTTTTAGCTGTCTAAATGAGCAGGATATAAGTTCTTTGGAGTAGCCTTTTTCCGAGGATGAGATCAAGGAGGCTATTTGGAGTTGTGATGGTAACAAAAGTGCAGGTTCAGATGGATTTTCTTTTGATTTCATTAAGAAGGGTTGGGCATTTGTCAAACCGGATATGGTCGATTTTATCAATGATTTTTACTCTAGGGATAAACTTGTCAAGGCTTGCACTGTTTCTTTTTTGACGCTTGTTCCAAATGTTACCAATCCTCAATTGTTATCAGAGTATGGATGTCGTCACTGAGCAGTTCGACCATATCTATCAGCATTTGCACTCTACTGCTCCACCTCCAGGAGGCCCACGTGATCGCTAGTTTTGTTCATGTGCCTCCCTAGTGAACACTGTTTGTTCTCAGTATGGGGGGGGGGGGTGTTTACATTATTATTTTGATGCTCATATTTTTCGGATATTTTGTTACAATCGGTTCTAAATTTTTCGGATATTTATTTCATTCAATAGTATTTATTTATTTACTTCATTTCGCATTTCATATTCCTATTTTTCGTTTTTGGTTAATTTCTATATTTTTCGTTTTTGGTTAATTTCTATTTTTAGTTAATTTTTAATTCTATTCGATTATCATTCCTCTGATTCTACTCGAAGCATCATATTGATACGCTTACACTAATTCCATGAAATATTGATTACAATACTAACACTCGATTGTATGCACTAAATATTATCAAATAGACGTACTATCTATATTTTTCAATGTATCAATAATAATTCCTATCATATACCCTACAAATTGTGTGCCACTAACTATTCATATAAATATATAAACCATGTAACAATATTTAAACTATATGAATAAATAAAAAATGCTTTAATTTGCACGTCCAATAAGATAACATGCACGCGGTCAGACAACCACAGCACGCGCCTTTGACCCTGACGAACGTCAGGAAGCATGTCCCTTTGACCCTGACGAACGTCAGGAAACGCGTGACGACTGTCAGTTATAACCTCCCATATTCAAAATTTCTCATAAACCTCATTCATTTCCCACTCATAAAATCTATCTATTTAAACCCTTCTTCCATTCTTTAGTTTTCACCACTACCACCCACCTTCCTTCCATTCCTTCATCACCATTACATTTTCTTCTTTGTCAAAAACACAATTATGGCCGCCCGAAGGAATCCACCCCACGGAAGAAACCCACGAAACCAAGAAGAACCCGACATGAGCCATCTCGTGTTCCGGCAAGGGGAAATAGGAGAACTTCAAAGAGAACGATACATAAAATTTTATCGTCGAGGTTTGACATCCACAAGATTTATCGACAACAACTGCTTGCAAGAATTGGGGGTTATGAAACAATATTCAAGGCTTGCTCGACAAAGCAGGCCTGAGCTTTATAAGCACGTTGAACACACCAACCTACGAGGCTCTGACGTTGGAATTCTCGAGTTCCTACGCCTACCACACTCGCGACGATGCTGATGAACACCTAACTGGAGCCGCTCAATTTCGGATGTTCAACCGAGAATACACGCTTAGCCATGAAAATTTGAGCGAAATGTTTCGTTTTCCCCGTGGAAATGATGTGCAATATCGTATTCTCCTGGAGATAGATTGGAATGGAAGTGCATACACACTATGGGAAAGAATAACCGGTGAGCCCAATGTTATTCCTGAAGCACGCTACGCCTCTCACATTCACAACCCAAATATTCGCTTCTTACACCGCATTATGGCCAACACGGTTTTTGGAAGGGCAAACAACAACAAAGTCAACACTAAGGAGTTGTATGCTCTTCACTGTGCCTTTTCACAAGATCTCCGTCTTAATCCCGTTACATTAATGATGGCCCATATTCAAAACCTTGTAACCAGAGATGGGACTACGCCCTTTTGTATTGGAGGCATTGTCACCACCATCGTAGTTCACCTGAACTGGGGGGAAAGGATTCAACTTCTACCTACGCTGCCAGCAATTTATATGGACATTGATAACTACAGAGATGGTCGCCTGATCAAGGTAAGAGAAGATGGAGGTTACTATCTGATGGTGAAGAATGCAGAAGTTCATAGTGTCATCTTTCCAAATCACAGTCGTACAAATTTGGGTAATCCTGGTAATTGGCTTTACAACCTGAATGCACCCGAACCTGGAGTAAATGAGAAAGGAAATCAAGGTGAGGCCAACAATGCTGTTGTTGATGAAATTGAAGAAGAATTAGAGCAGCAAGAGCCCCAACCACAACATGCCAATAATCCTGCCACCATTGATGCAATTTATGCCGCAATAATGCAGCAGAACCAGCTGTCCACTCAACGCTACCAAAGCCTCGAGACGCGCCAAATTGAGATGTTGAATATCATGCAACAAATGCAGAGAGACCAAAGCGAATATGCTCACAGGCACGATCAAAGTATGCTGGAATTCACCGCAGGAATGACGGAAGATATGCGAGCTTTAACACTTTGTGTCGAAGACTTGCATAACATTATTTCTCGTGGTAATGGAGTCGAATCTTCCAGAAGCGGTGAGCAAGCACGTAGAAGAGCAAGGACACGTGGAAAATTTCGAAGGCAAGAGGAGGAAGAATAATTGTCTAGTTTCCACTTCCCTTTTCCATCTTCTGTCAATACATTGAGGACAATGTATGATTCAAGTATAGGGGAGGAAGTATTTCCCTTTCCTAGTAATTTTTATTTTCTTTGTAATTTCCCTTCTGTCATTTCTAATTCAATACAATTTTTGTTATCAAGTTATCTATTGAAGCATTTGTGTTGTTTTTGCGATTCCCCTATCTTTTTGAACCCTATCAAAATATTTTTTAGAGTGTTATGCATAACTTGACTCACTTGACAAGTACATAGGGTACAAGATCTTTAATAGTTAGGAATTGTGGCAAGATTAAACGAAATTACTACCATCTAGACATT